GGCCGTCCTGCCTCCCTCTCAGACTCCATGTGGTGAGACCAGCCCTGCGGCTCCCTCCAGCCCTGGCCCCGGCTGTCCCCACCGTGGGAGGCTCAGCCACACCATCTGCTCCCAAGCCCACTGGCCATGGATGAATTTACCCGCAAATGGAGGCCAGTGCCGAGGGTCATCGCCACAGCCAGAGCCCTGAGTGTCCTGCCTTTCCAGAGCCTGGCTGCTGTCTGCGTTCAGAGCACAGACAGGAAACGTGCTCTCGAGTCCACGCAGGACCGCTTTCCCCCATCAGGTCCTGTTGTGCCGCCTGGTCTGGGGAGCAGCTGGGATTCCTCCTCTTCCCCTTTTGGTTGTTGCTTCTTTGTTTAATGAACGTTTTAGTTCAGGAGATAGAAGTATTTTTTAGTACTTTAAAACATATATATTTATTTTTTAAAAAGATATTAGGAACAAATTTTGCCTCATTTTAAAAAATATGTTTTATTGATTTCATTTAGAGAGAGAGAGGGAAAGAGAAACACCAATGAGAGAAGCACCACTGACCGGCTGCCTCCTGCACGCCCCCTGCTGGGGGGCACCGAGCCCACAGCCCAGCATGTGCCCTGACGGAATGGAACCAGCAACCTCTTGGTTCATGGGCCGACGCTCAACCACTGAGCAACACCAGCCGGGCTAAAAAAATTATTGATTGATTTTTCAGATAGGAAGGGAGAGAGAGACACACATGGATTTTTATCACTTATTTATGCATTTGTTGGTTGATTCTTGTATGTACCCTGACCGGGGAGTCGAACCCTCAACCTGGCATAGTGGAACAGTGCTCTAGCCAACTGAGCTATCTGGCCAGGGCTAGAAATATTTTTAAAGTATCATTTATTAAAACCTTACTAAAATATTAAGGGAATTTAAAATTTAAAAGAATCCACACACAGTGCTGTGGGCTCACGGACCTACTGGCCCCATTTTTGTTTCTGGTTCTCGCCTGGTGTCTATCAATACCTGTGTCCACTTCACGTTGTCCTGACAGCGTGTCGTTCCATGTCGCACGGTCCTCTGTTCCTGCTTTACATCACGGCACCAACGTGTCGCCACCTCTTCAGGTCATCTTAGCGACCACCAGTTTAGATGAGCCGACATCCTCTAGCCATGTGTTCTGTGCTTCAGTGGGGGCGTCCAGAGGGGCAGACCACCTCCAGATGCCTGGGTTTTATTCTGGTGGAGGTGCCACAGGAGGTGTTTGCGCAAGACCACCCCCCACTGCCTCCACCTTGGACCAGAACTGCCCCCTAGGGAGGGTTCCCGCCCCGGCTGTGCAGGCTGAGAAACCAGAAACCAGAGGCCGTCAGCAGCATCCCGCTCGCCCCCTAGTGGCCGGTTCCCGCATTTGTGCAGCACAGGAAGCCCTGGACCAGGTCAAAGTGATGTCAGGTGGAAAAAGCTCAGAACGGTGGGTGAGAGGTGGAGGCTAGTTTCCCCCAAATTAACGGTGGTATCAGTACCTTCATAGGATCGGGATACATGGTGGTACATTCGTCAGAAACCCCCGATGGTACATTTAAGATCTGAAGTGTTACTGAATGTAAATTTCATGTCAAAATAGAAGTCTGTAAACAGGCACCGAGCCTCACTTGTGATGTGAAATGAAGGTGTTTGGGGCGAAGCGTGTAGTAACAAAGTTCGAGGAGAGGAATGGGTGGGCTCGGGACAGAGGGAGCGATGGACGGACAGTGTCGGAGGTGGGCTCTAGGTGGGAGATTTAAGGACATTCACTGTGAAATTCTGTCGACTTTGCTGCAGGTTTGAATATTTTCATGATAAAATGCTGGGGAGTCTTCCTGGAGGAGGTGGCCTCTGAGCTGGGCCTCCTCCTGGGATGAGTGCCTGTGTGGGGGGGGGTTCACTATCTTTCCCTGGGATCAGGTTCATCAGGCCTGGGTGTCTGGGGGGGCATGCTGATGAGAGTGAACAGGGAAGCTGAGTCTGGCAGGGACACCCCCAGAGACCCCAATCCCCAAGGAGCTTCAGAGATGGATAGACTGGTGCCCACAGTCCCAAGATGGTGCCCAGGTGGTGGACACCGGGGCCCGGTGCTTTCATGGGAGAAGTTCCCGTAAGTGAGGGTCCCACTGCTGCTCTGGTCGTGCCCTTGCATGTGGGGACTTTGCAGCCTCCACTGTTCCCGCCATAAGCCACTGTGGTCCCACTGTGGTTGCCCCCTCAGGGCAGGGGGCAGGGAAGGGAGCCCGGGGCCTGACAGGGAGGGGAAGGGCAGAACAAGACCCACCCAGTTTTAATGACAAGCATGAGTGAAAATCGGTGGATCTCCTGTCCTTGGGGCTGGCTCAGCCAGTGCCCCTCATGCACCCTCAGGGACTGGGCATCGGGCACAGTCGGGAGGGGCCAGGGCCTGGCAGGGTTTCCTCGCTCTGTGGAGACCCCCAAGAAGACGCAGGCAGCCTCTGGTTTCAGCTCAGCTCCGTGCTGGCGAAAGCAGCGTAGGCCCTGCCCCGTTCGTCAGCTCTGAGGCCACTTCCTGGCGTCCTCAGCCACCATCAGAGCAGCTATTGGGCACAGTTGGTTGTTACATATTATAGTCTAATTATTATAGTCTAATGTTTTATGGAGGTAAAGTGCTCATTGATTTTACTGAGATGTGTCATAGCTTAGAAGTTTTATGAGTGTATCTTGGCAGACAGCTGTCATTGCAATTAAAAATAAATTACAGTGAAAAAGAAATTACTGGATTGAGTCTTGAGTAACCAAGAGAGCTGTAAAATTATACATGAGAAATGATTGAAATTCTGAGGACTGGTGCCTGGCAGCCCTGAGGAGCTCCGTGTGGCCTGGTGCATGGATGCCACGTTGCTAACCCAGGCTCTCCCACGTGCTGGATACTGAAGTGGATTGGAGACTCCTGACCACTTTCCCCAGGAGGGGCCCGGAGAGAGCAGCCGGAGGAGAATGGCAGTCAGCTGTAGATGCATTCCCCCAGTCCTTTCCAGTTGGGGGGGTGTCTGCACACTTGACCCCTGCAGTTGGAAGGCCCAGACTCCAGTTGTTGACCATGCGGGGACTTGGGAAGGCGGGAGCACGGGTAGAATTGCAGCAAGAGGGGTGGGCCTGGCATTGGAGCCCTGCATCTCTCAAGGGCACTGAAGTACCGTCCGCCTACAGTGGGTGGGTGTAGCAGACACGTGCCACACAGTGGCCCCTGACGTGGGTGTCGTGATGACTCCTTGGGCACATTGACACCAGTCCCCATCTGTGAGTGCTCCTGTCTGGCTGGGTGCTTAGGCGTAGGTGTGACATGGGACACGCCTGCCTGGATCTGCCCCACTCAGCCCCAGGGGCCCCAGGCACGTCACTGGACCTCCCATCTCCCACCTGTCACAGGAGGGTAAAGGTAACACTGACCTTGCAGGTATGGGGTGAGGTGATATTTGTGGAGCTCCTAGAACAGTGGCTCATAGTCACAGGTGCCAAATATAAGGGTTTGTGACACATGCGTGTAACGTATGGGAATTGGCCTGACACGTGGTTGGAGTCCAGTAATGGGGCTCTGTCACCTTCCTCTCCCTAGCTTGTCATCTGCCCCTGACACCCGGGGAAGCACCACCTGCACACTGCAACCCTTCTCTCTGGAGGCTGGACACACTGCGTTCAGCTCTGGGCCCAGGGAGTGCACCAGCCCCTAGCAGTGCTGGGCACCCAAATGTTGCCAGGTGGTATGTTCAGTCCCCCCTTCCGCACTAAGCCCTTGTCTCAGCTGGGCAGTGGCTGGGCTTCCCAAAGAAGTGATGGCCTGGCTGGTGTGGCTCAGCAGTTGAGCATCGACCCATGTACCAGGGGGAGGTCACGGGTTCGATTCCCAGTCAGGGCACACGTCTGGGTTGCCGAGGGCGCGACCCCCAGCAGGGGCATGCAGGAGGCAGCCAACTGATGTCGATGTCGATGTTTCTATCTCTCTCTCCCTCTCTCTTCCTGTTTCTCTAAAAAATCAATAAAAACATATTTAAAAAAAAAAAGAAGTGGGTGATGCCGACAGCTCTCAGCAACCCGCTCACAGCAACCTGCAGGACCCACAAAGGCCAAGACCACCTATGTCTGGGGCAGCTTAGGTCCACATTGGATTGCTCTGTGGGAGAGGCAGGGAGAGAGGCTGCAGCCCCCCAGTCCGGACCCCCAGGCTGGCCAGGGACAAGCAGCTGTCCCAGGGCAGGAGTGGCCAAACAGGACCTGTGGCAGGAGGTAACCCTGCATGCCCCAGGACAGGGACAAGGGGAAGCCTCAGTGAGGGCCGAGCCCTTCAGTGACACACCACAGGCCATGGCAGACAGATGCAAACCTCCCCTACACCAACAGGGCACACCTAAGCAAGGATGCCCCTGAATTTAGGGCACCCCAGCTGTGAGAACAGAGGGTCTGCCCCTGGGTGGAAAAGAGGGCCAGGGGCTGGGAGAGGCTGGGGGCTGGGGAGGGCTCTGTTGGCCAGAGGGGCTGGTGTGTGTCCACTCTGGCCTTCCTTCCTTGACTTCCCAAGAAGCCCCAGACACCGGCCAGGCTCTCAGATTCTGGGAGGCCCTGGATGCTCCGCCCAGAGGTAGGGGTCCCAGGGCTGGGACAGTGTGCACCCTCAGAGGCTGGTGGGCCTGCCAGCTTCCCCAGGGCCTGGTAGGAACAAGGCCAGCAGTCCTACAGGAGGGGGTGGGCAGGGTCCACCTTGAGGGGACAGCCTGAAATCTATGGCGGGGAGGCGGGGGTCAGCCTGGGGCGGAGAGGAAAAGGTTTCCTCTCAGACCATGAGCTCCACATCCAGATGAGGCCCCACCAGACTGGGTCCCCAGGCCGCCTCCTCCAATCCCAGTGATCCTGCAGGGGTCAGCACAGGACACGGGGGCGACATCTGCCAAATAGGCCCGGCCGTCCACCCACAGACACAGCCCACTGGCACGTGTAGCATGCTTTTTTATTTCCCAGGGCTGGGGGATTCTCATGAGGCGGGTGGGGGCGGAGGAGCTGTCCCCTTTGGCTGCGCCTTGGCAGGCAGGACAGGGGGCTCAGCTGCTCGGCCACAGGAGGGTGAAGTTGCCTCGGCTGCAGCGGAAGTCAGGCTCGGGCTGCTCAGGCCTGGGCTCCACAGATACCAGGCGCCGGTTGCCCCGCTGGCTTAGGGGGATGCAGTCAGACACACGGACCTCCAGGGAGCGGCCGTCCCTGAAGACGATGGGAGAGAGGTCAGGTGGGGACGGACTGGGGGGCAGGGGGGCAGACCCCTCAGATTGAAAGCCACCCACCCCACTCACCCCTGGCAGTGCGCGGCCAGCACGCCCACCAGCTCCCCCACGCGGTTGTCCAGCGGTGGCCTTGAGCGGTGCAGACACACCACCAGGTCGTCCTGACCAGTCGCGTGCACCACCACCAGCTGGTCCCGTCCGCTGGTCACGCTCAGCCCAGTCACCTGTGGGGAGTCAGGGTCAGGGGGTAGCAGGCCCTCCTCCCGGCCCTGCAGTCTCCTAGGACCCAGACTCTGGAGCCCCATCCGCTGCTCTACCGTTGGTCCCCCGAGGTCTCCTTCCTCCCTCGAGGCTCTCAGGTGCCTGACTGTGCTGGTGGGACTGAGGAGCTGACCTTTCAGCATCTGTTCTCTCCATTCCTTCTAAGTAGCCACACTGGTCATGTGGCTCCAGACCAGATATCTGCCCAACCTCGGACTGTCATAGGGACCCTGGCCTGGACCTGCCTGGGGCCAATCGTTGCTCTGTGGGAATAGAAACTGGGGCTCCAGGGACTAGTGAGCCACAGAACTGGATGGTGAGGGGGTCCACAGGTTCTGGTGGGAGATCTCCCAGCCGGGCATAGGTGTGGGGAGATGGCCCACCTGGGGGCCAGAGTAGAGAGTGGTGGGGAGGGGGCTGTGCCCGCAGGAAGCCATGCAGGCTGTTGGGGGAGGGGGGGTCATCCTGAGCTGAGACTATTCAGGCAGGTGAGAGGGGAGGGGCCCACGGATGCTGCTCCCCACCCCACAGGCTCACCGTGTCCAAGGGCACCGCCCGCATCACTCGGTACTGCCGGCCGGGCTCCAGCTTGTACAGGTGCCGGTCAGTGAGCAGGAGGGCGCGGTCCCGGCACTTGTTGAAACGATTCACCTGCAGGACAGGCGCTTGGGGTCACTCGCCACCCAGGCACCCCGCACGCCCGCCCTGTGTTCTCCCTGCCTGACCATTTGGAGCTGACCCTTTCCCAAGCGTCAGGAGCACTGTGAGGCCTCTCAGGGGCCTGGCTTGGGCCCTCGCCCACTGCTCACCTTGCGGACGTGGCTGGAGAAGAGCACGGCGCCGAAACCATCCTTTTCCCGAAGGGTCTTCAGGCGCTGAGCAAACAGGCTGGAGGCAGTAGGGTTGTCGGTGGCCTGAGCACAGATGAGGGGCAGCTTGGGATGGGGTCTTGGGACCATGACTGACTGACAGGGACCCTGGGTGAATGGCACAGCTACCCGGGAAATAGAGTCGGACCGTGCATGTGCCACGTCCGCTGGGCTCACCTGCCACCCCGAGTCCTGAGGGCCCAGCACAGTCCCCATGGCCTAAGGTTCTAGGCATCAAGGGTCTGCCCTCCATACTGGCCACCAGGTCTGCTCCTCAGGCCAGATTTGGACAGACCCGGAGGAGTAGGACCCAGCAGCCAGTGGGAACCAGGCCCCTCCATGCACATCCACCAGGCAAACCCCAGGCCCCTGGGCCTTTTATTTCCTGCAGACCCGGTCAGGGGCAAGCTGATAGTGCCCACCCACATGAGGGCCAAGGGGAGCCATGGCTGGGGTGCTGGCTGTGGGTTGGAGGGCTGTGCTGGAGAATAGGGGAGGTGTTCCCGAGAATGGGGGGCTGGCCTTAGAATGGGGGGG